CAATTTGATGACACCTAACAACAACAACAAAAAAACCCCAATAGCAACGTAATTTGATTTGCAGAATAATTCAGGGGAAAGTGTTTCCTTTTAGGTTGAAAATGAGTTCAGGGAAATAGTTTTGAGGGTTTCTCCAGCCTCAGTGGATCCAGAAAGTCTGGATTCCATGAACATTGTCAATCCTATTCCACATCTCCCCCTTTTTTTATTAGAGTTCTCTGCCTCCTGGATGGTTGTTGTTGTTTGGGTTTTTTGTTTCTGTTTATTGGTTTGGGGATTTTTTTGGTTGTGTTGGACTTTATTTCCTGCAAGAGGCTTTTCAACTCCACAAAATTTGGAGAAAATACAAATTCAACATCACATATACACAACATGTATCCCTCTCTTTCCTATAAAGTTGACCACCAACTGCTGTTTTCATAACAATATGCCCAAGAGCTATGCCTGGCCCTGGTCCTCCTGCCTTGTGTCTCTTGGCAGAAGCACCACTGTTTCTTCTGCCTGCGATGCAGCTGAAGCCAACCAGATGTGCAGGGTTCCCTGTATCAGGTAATTCTTTGCAATGCATCATCCTTTCTTCTTTATATTTACTTCTCTGCTCTCTCCAGATGGTTATAAAAAGCCTTCCATCGATTCTATTGGTCTCACAATAGCACTAACACTCTCAGAAGTGTATACTTGATATAGATTAAGCATGGAACTGTAAGATGTGATCCCCGAGAGGGGCATTGTGAAGGAAGCTAGCGAGCAGTGATAGTGTTTTCATTCTCTGTTCAGATGACAGGGTGGTTTTACACATAGCGGCACTGGAAGCTAAATGGCATTATTACACCCTCATCAGAAGGAAACTGAGGCACATAGAGATCCTAGAGCTTCCTCCAGAGTCACATAGATAGTATGTGGCTGAGGTCCCATTCAAGATGATGCCAAAGCTCCTCCTAAGCCATTTCCTTCTCCCCTGCCCTTTGAACACAGTCACAAAGAAAGGAAAACACATTCTGTTCCTAAGATTTTGACAGGGACAATGTGGGCATACCCAGGTACAGCTCTGAGACAGTCCCCTTAGATCTGGCATCCATCAGAAATTATGTTGAAGTTCATGGTCAGCAAAGCTGAACAGCGTCTGAGGGATCAGAATCAATATGTGCTGTCTGCTGATGTAGCTTTTCTGCTCCATTTAGACCATTTCTTTAAATGATTCGGCAGGAGCAATAAAAACCTGTGTTTTCACTTCAGGTGACCTTCACACACTATGGGTCGAGTCGTGCTTTATCTTGCTCAGAGATTAAAATGAGAAATAAAAGAAAAGGCACTTCTGTGGCCAAGAAACCCTTTGGAGTAGTTCTGGTGCCTCAGAATCTTGTGTAATTTAAAAGGAGATTAAGATATTTAGAGATCGCATTGATTTCCCCGATGCCCAGCATATTAAAGTAGGGTAGGAGCTTCCTCAGCATAGCACGAAGCCCAAGAAATGAGACCCTTTCTCTTGATTCCCTCCATTCAGTGAGCTTTGCTGTCACCTCCCAATCTTTCCTGGGGGCGCAGGTGGGTGCTTGTGACTTCATCCTCCAGGAGTCACTGGGCTCCTCTTTCCTTGGTGCTCAGCATCAGGACAATCTAAAGCTGAAGAGAACGTTGCTGCCAGGGAGTTCACCTCTGAAGGAGGGTACACACAGGAGGAAGCCACTCAGAAACGAAGCCACTTGGCCTCCCCTCCTGGCGGTCATGTTGATGGAGGAACTCGTGGTGCCCAGCTACGTGTGGTGAACTTGACATTCTTTAATGGCTTGTGTGTTGCTGTGATGACAGAAGCTAGGCCATCAGTATTTCATATACCAGCACGGTCACTCTGGGGCAGATTTCAGTGGCGCTTCCAGATTGACAGTCTAGAAAAAAGACATGACAATTTTCCCCCAAAACCAGCCACAAAACTCTGGGCCACGGTAGACTGCATTGAATACAGCCCTGCAGAATGGAAGGTATTCAGTGGCCACAGCAGTGGACTTGAACCCCAGCAACTGTGGTAACAGTGTAGGACTAAGCCACATCCGCTGCATGAGGGATGTCTGTGAGTCAGAATCGACTTGCTGGCCACCGGACAATGGCATCATTTCATTTTAACTGTGTATCCGGCACTTTACCAGGGAAGCGATGCCTAAACCCATACCCACCAGTTTCCTGACCTGTTAGTTTAGGTCAGCCTTTCTCATACCAGTTCTGACCAGACTCAGCCTTGTGCCACAGTAGGAGTGGAGCGCGTCCATGTAGATTTTTTTCCTGGATATGTTACCTGACTGCATGATGACATCATGGTGCATGTTTCTGTCTCAAACAGTAACAAGCCCATCAACAAATGAATGGATAGAGAAGCTGTGGTATATTCACACAATGGAATACTACGCTGCATTAAAAAACAAGGAACTCATAAAATATTACTCAAAATGGATAACTCTGGAGAACATTATGCTGAGTAAAGTATCTCAGTCACAAAAGGACAAATACTGCATAGTGCCATCGTTGTAGAATGGAACTGACATCAGGGTTGGAGTGAGACTGAGAAAAACTGGATAAATTATTTATACCGCATTGAAACAGATGAGGGAGAGAACTGTTTAAAAGGGATATATATGATTGGGTATTATGGTTATGACAAGAGTCCAGAATGAAGGTTGCATAGTGGAGCATACTCAGGGCAAGGGGTTGGGGGAGGTGATTATCTACTAATGAAAGAATTTTTCTTTTACTTTCCAAAGAGAAGAGCAAACTAGGGGGAAGGGTTGTCAAGGAGAAAAATGCAACAATGAATGAATGGAAATCCAAAATCTCTGTAAACGTTCATTAAAATTAATAAAATATAAAAATTTAAAAAAGAATACAATTGTAAAAAAAGAAGTCAATAATAAATTTAAAAGTAATGATAATAATATAAAAAAACAACAGTAACAAGCCCCTGCTGTGTGGCAGGCCTAGGGTGATGCTTGATGGGTGGGACCAGTCCAAGCTCTGTAGTGCTGCTATGTCAGTAATGCCACAAGGGGTGGCTCTGACCAATAGGAGGGTGATGGTCCCTTACAGTCCAGGAGGCTAGGCGTATGGATTCTAGAGGATGGCTTTCTTTTTATTTTTTGACAAAAGTTTGTATTTAGAATTAGCCCACTGGACTCAGTTTAGATGATCTCAACTTTGTTGGCAACATCCAAAGCATCACAATGAGGAGCAAGTCAAACATAGGCCTTCTTCTCTCCATCAGGCCTAATCAAGGTGTTGACCTTGACCACATCAGTGTCATAGAGCTTCTTTACAGCTTGTTTAATTTGGTGCTTGTTGGCCTTGACATCCACCATGAACACAAGTGTGTTGTTATCTTCTTTCTTTTTCATGGCAGATTCAGGGGTCAGGGGAAACGATGATGGCATAGTGGTCAAGCTTGTCTCTTCCAGGGGTATTTGGGCTGCCTTTGGAGTCTCAGCGTCTTAGGCTGCCGGAAAGTGGGTGACATGTGGATCTTCTTTTTTTCTGGCTATGAATGCCCTTCAGGATGCCTTCTTGGCTTTTTTTTTTATTTTATTTTTAATTTTATTTTATTATTTTTGTGTGTGTGTACCGTCAAATCAGATCTGACTGGTACAGGAGGAGATTGCCCCTCCTTCCCCGGCAGAGCATCTGGTGGATTCGAACCGGCCTTCTTGGCTTTTAATGCCTTTGTTTTGGCTCAGTTTTGGGAGGGGCAGGGGCTTCCTTCTTCTCTTTCGGCACCATCTTTGTAGAAAGGCTTTCTGCCTGTGTGTCTCCTGGTTCTAGGAGGTTCCTGGCACAGGGACCCACAGTCAGAAATTCATGCTATATTCCCAGCTCTTCTTTCTTGGTTATACTGACATCCTTCCCTTTCTGCTCACTTCTCTCTTCCTTTATCTCCTGTAAGATAAAAGATGATGCAAGCCTCTTCCTGGGGGAGCTCCTCCTACCCTGGATCAGGGCTGTGACCAGGTTGAGGGTGTGATATTCCACCAGAGTTGGTTGCATCATGGGGCATGATTACATCTTCTGTAACTGACACATTACATCATTACATATATCAAGAACCATGGCCCAACCAGGTTGATTCTTGTTCCAGGGGAAAAAATTCAATCCATGATGGGACCCAAGGACATTGGTCTTCTCTCAGTGCTTACGATGCAGAGTGTGGTCCCCTTGAGGACAAGATCACTATGTATCCCACCACCTTCTTCATTAAGGGGGTTTATTTTGTGCAACTGAAGATCTTGGAGATGGGACAAGTCACGGCAGACAAAATTCTCTGCCTATGGTACAAGGCATGAGAATGGAAGGACTTCTAACATCTGCAGCCTCTCCCATCAGCCTCCCTGACATGAGAATGAGATCTCTGGACAAGGGAGATTGTTCTCCTTCCTACTGTCCTTGCTGAGGGACACTTGACAAATCTTTGTGTCTACAGGAAGCACTATGGAAATCACAGCTTCCTTGGTGGGTTTGTCTGAGGGGTGCCTGGCACTTGGTCCCCTGCCCACTTCCTCCCTCCTGCAGTAGAGCCACCTTTACAAAGTCTACAGAGTGGGGGTACTTAAAACAACAGATGCTTATCCTCTCACTGTCCTGGAACCTGAAGTCTGGACTCAGGACATCAGCAGGCTCATAAGAGAAAGGATGCTTCCTTGTCTGGCCCAGTTTCTAGTGACCTCAGCCAGTCCTTGGCTTGTGACCACATCACTCCAATCTCTGCCTCCAGTCACATGGCCACTTCTCTGTCCTGTCTCCTCTTTGATTAGAACATCACTCAGATGGGATTTGAACCCACCCTACTCCAGTGTGATCTCATGTGAACTTCAGTAATTACATTTGCAGGACCCTATTTCCAAGCATGCTTTTGTTCTCAGGTGCTGGGCTTGGGGTTTCAGCGTATCTTCTGGGAGACCACTGTTAAGCACACCATAGCCCTGCCTTCCTGGTGTCTGATGTCCACGCCCTTCTGTTTTCTCTAGTTCTCAGCATCGGTGAAGGCGGCTTCTGGGAAGGCAGTGCCCGTGGCCACATCGGCTGGTTTCCGGCTGAATGTGTGGAGGAAGTGCAATGCAAACCCAAGGACGGCCAAGCAGGTAAGATACTCGTCCTCCAACCCCCTTGGTTCTCTGATCTCCAGTCTGGGGTGCTGTACTGTCTGTCAAGCTATGGTGTGCAGTAGGAACCAAATACTGCAATGTGGGAGAAGGTGAGTTCCAGGTAACACCTTCTTCAGATTTCCAAGAACAGGTGGATTGACTCTCTTCCCCTGAACTCCACCCAAATGAAAAATCCACCACAGAAAAGCATGGTGGCTTTTAGTTAAAAGTCTGCATAATATAGTCTATAGAAAGCAAAGATCTTAAGTCTTAGCAACAAGGAAAATAGACTTACTTATGGGTTGAGTAAGTGCGTGGCTCTTCTATTTCAGTCTCTTATATTCATGTCACAGCAGGTATGTTCCAGTTTTGTGGCTTATCCTAAGGACTGTGTGGTCAGAATGTCATGGTGAGCATTCCTGGGAGAGTTCCGTGCAGACAGTAGGAGACGGTTCCAACAGCTCTTAGGACTCCCAGATCTAGTACTTGCTGAATATGGTTTTGAGACTAAGAGCCTGATGATTGGACACCTTAGAGTGTCAACATGAGACCACTTGTCTTGAGAAGAATTATGAGCTTATCAGGAAACATGACAGCCGAAGGTCTTGAGAGAAGTTGGTCTACCCTGGCTGTGAGTGAGATGCTTGTCTTGAATCTAACGTCAGCAGTGGCCATGCTCACTGGGCTGGCAGTGGCTTTGTTGGTGCCTCTCTGCAGATTCTGTGCTCTGCTTGGAGATGATCGTCCCTTTGAAGGTGGCCATGGCCAGTTTGGCACAGCGGAGTGGGCTGGCAAATGAGGCATTCTCAAAGTGTAGCCCCCGTCCTAGTGGTCTCTCTGACCAGTGACTCTCCATGACCAAGCAGCTTCAGTCTGGCTCCCCGTCCGTTCTGTCTGTCTGCCTGATCTCCCTTGGACCAGCTGGCTTTGCAGGTCTGTTGGGGAATCCCAGCCGGACTTCAGGCTTCACTTTGCTGTTGTTCAGCCTCTGCTCCAGGTCACACAGCGGGGGCGGGTATGACACGTTTGCCATGCTGGGAGTGTCGGACGATATACAACTCGAATGTCACTTTGAAAGAGGAGCTAGATTGTCTGAAGCCTGTCTGCTCCCCATGGAAGAGGTGGGGTGCTCTGTGGTCAGGGACAACTGGAGGCATCTTTTTCTAGTTAAGGTGACGGGAATACTGAGTCTTGGTCTCCCCATAGGTGAACTCATGACCCAAGTTGACCCCACCTGCCCACCTCCCTCTTGATCCCTCTCCCATGTCCTGCTCCCTCTCCTGCACCTTCTGGTTGCAGAAGATACTAAAGGTGTCCTACACCTGGGTGGGGTGTCCTGAGTGCCAGCTCATGATGGACATGTTTGCCCCTCTTACTTCTCAAGTCCCTGGAACTGTCGCTCCCTGAGATGAGAAGGGCAATGGCTCAGAGCCCCTCTCTCCTCCCTCTCCTGCTGGCCACCTGTCCCGTCTGCCTGCGCTTTCTGGGGCATCTTCTCCCGCTTCCCTGGAGAGAATGTGTGGTTTTCCCCACCGGCCATTAGCATCTTCCTTCCCAGGATGGCGGATGTGGGGGGGCTTGACCAGGCTGGTGTGCGTCCTCCAGAAGGAGGGACCATGGCTGTGTTTGTGCTCACGGTGGGAGGCAGCTGTCAGAGTGAAGGCAGCCTCTCGGAGGACCTTCATGCTGCTCTTTGCACTTGACAGGTGATATGGATGAACTTGATCTGCCTGGACCAATCAGGGTTCAGCATCCCAGAAGGTTCTGGCAGGGCTTGCAGAGGGTGCTATCCATGAGCGGTGGGTGACATGAGCACGGGACATTCACTGGTCACAGTGCTGGAGACTCGGGATGTCTGTTACATGTTGGGACGGTTCCAGCCTCAGCTTCTTCCTGAGTCCCAGGGAGTGATGGGTACCCAGGTGCTGCCATTTTCCTTCAGGACCTTAGGGCTGGAAGGACAATGTACGGAGTTCTGGTCCTGGGGGAGCTCTGAGTCCAGGGCCATGACCCTACTACCGGTCAATTCAGACGCCGTGCGATTGACCCCTGCTGAGCCATGTGTGCAGTGTTGTGGTAGAAGGAGAGGGTGCCACATGGAGTGGGTGCATAGATGGCCCAAAAGGAAGCAGCTTTGTGGGGGCCCCTGACTGGGCGTCTAGAATCCTGTTCCTAATGCTGTCTGGAGGAGACACGAGTGAAGACTAGGGTTGGCCGGCGATTTCTGGTGGGCATTCTTGGGGAAGAGGAGAGCCACTAGGATGTAGGATTTGCTCCCTGGGTCTCGTGGACGAGCCACTTGTTCCTGGGAGGTTCTTCCTGCCAGGTGTGTATGTGACAAGGGCTGCGATTACTGTTTGCTTTTCTCTTATTAGTCCTGACATCCACTCCGGGTGGGGCAAAGTGAGTCCTCTCAGCTGCTAACTGAAAGGTTGGCACTTGGAAACTACACTCTCTCGCGGAAGGTACCTTGGGAGAAAGGCCTGGCGCCCTGCTTCTGAAAGCTGGCAGCCCGAGAACTCCCAGGAGCCGGGGTCCGCGCAGCCGCCCCTGGTCTGGCTCCTCTTCTGCCCGTTTGCCGCACGTCCTCCTGTTCCTGTAGGAATGCTTGCCTGGCTCCTGTTGCGCTTGGTCATGAACCAGGTGGTCTCCCTGCCTGACTCGGGAATGTTCTGGTATCTACCAGTCTTTCAATTGGAGGTGACACGCCCATCCCAACACTCCTCCCTCTAAAGAGGTTCATTCGTTTACAAAACGGAAACATCCAGAATCAGGCCTCGCTGGACCCCAGTGCTCAGACACTGGTTCCGTGAACTCTCTCCCTCTCTGGCCTGAGTCCTTGCTGGAGGCTTAGTGTCGGACTGCCTCAGCTCTGGCCATCGTCATGGGTGGAGAAAGGACGATGGCCAAAGACAGTCGGGCACGTGGACAGCAGGACGAGGAGGGCAGGCGGAAGCACAGAGCTCCGTGGGCAGCAGTGTCCTACCCTTTGCGCACAAGGAGAGAGTAACCTTGACCTATTTTCCCTCCAACTAGAATCCCTGCCCCCAGAGACAAAGAGGAGGCAGGAGCTGCCAGCTAGGCTCTGGGTTGCCCAGGCAGGGGCCAGAGGAGTCCCTCTGCCAGCATCACGGGAGGGGTGCGGGGGCTCTGGCTACCTCTGCCAAAATCGCCTCGTTCTAGTATTTTCAGAGTGTTTAAAAATACAAGCAGCCAACACTATTAGCACAATTGTCTCTAAAATATTAATGAGGAAGCGAATAGGCAGTTTGCAGAGCGGCTGCTAGATGTTCCCACACGGAACGTAAAATGAATGAGGACACGCTGTCCCGGCTGCTAATGACTGTGTCTCTGTTAAACAGGGAGGGTGCAGCCTGCCCCCCTTCTCCTCTTTACGCCATTTTATTACAATACACGTGGAGCCTGGCTGTTCCGGGTGTGTCTGTGTGCTCTTGTCCCGAAGCAGCCGTTGCGTGTTTTCATTACCAGCTTCCACGCTCTGCTTGTCCTGAAATAGACTCGTCCTGGTCCATCCGTGGCTGTGGTCTCCCCGAGGGGTGGAGTCTTCTGTGTGGCTCTGGCCCTGAGCCCTCCCTACCTGCTTTTACCCTCCCAGCAGTGGGGGAGGCTGGCCTAGGGTTGCCATGGCAACGTGGTGATGCTGGGTACCAGCTCTGCCCTTGTTCCCATCACAGCATCCCAGCCTTCACAGGTCCATTTTGTTGAAGGCAAGAACTGACCCCTGTCCTGAGCTGATTACCTCACCAAACCATATGCGGACCTCCCAGCAAACAGACACTCGGAATCTGGCTCAGAGTCACAGCTTCAGCATCCACATGCAAGGTGAACATCACCTCTGACTTAAAGTGATAGCCCTGAAGCCAGAGGCTGGCCATTGACAGGCTGTGTGGCCCTGGGCAACTTGCTCCCTCTCTGAGCCCTCTTGTCCTCTTCAGGGAAATGGCACTAGCCAGCAGAACTGTATTTCAATGCAAATAAATGCACACATTTTACAGATTTGTCTAAGCCGCTCAGCTTGCTGGCACGTTAATTTCCAAGTGAGCCGTGCATGTTATATGCTCATTCCAATTATTTGCATGGATGCATTACATGCAAAAAATGTGTTCATGTGTCTTCCACATGGTTGTGAGGATGGGAGGTGTCCAGAGTGGTCACCTCCCATCGTGGTGAGCCTGGCTGAGCAGTGGCTACCATGTCATTATCGCCTGCCCACCCCGTCTGCAGATCCCAGAGGAACGAGGCATGAGGAGAAGGCAGCACATTAGAACACTGCTTCTGCCAGGGCTCCACCCCAGCCCTGCAGACTCAGAAGATCTCACTGGAGCTTGGGAACCTGTGTTTCAGCAGTTTTCCAGGTGGTGTGTTTGATGAGCTGGGATCAGGAAACTCATGTTGGCAAAGATTGCATCTATGCAGCTGATCCGGGGCAAGTGGGTTGAGCAGGGTGGGGAGAAAGTGTAGGTTCATTTGTAAACAGGTATCTGTGAGGCAGATTGATCAAGGAGTGTAGCCCTCGATGAGAGCAAAGTGTATGAAGGATGCAGCTGGCTCACATTGGTGCATCTTGTACCCAAGACAGTGTGCAGTAGGTGTTAGGGATGTGTGTTCCAGATAATGGGGTGAGTGAGTGGATGTGTGGATGGCTGGATGGAAGAGAGGATGGCTAGGTGTATAAAAAGGATAGATGAAGAGATGGGTGGGTGGATGGACGGATGGGTTAATTAAATGATGAATGGGTGGATGAATAAATGAGTTGATGAGTGGATAAATAGATGACGGCTGAGGATATGAGGGAGTAGGTAGATGGGTGGGTGGATGAGAAGGTGGCAGACAAGGAGATGGATGGATGGACGGACGGATGGATGGATGGATGGACGGACGGACGGACGGATGGATTAGTAGGTGAGAGGATGGGTAGATGGATTAATGAATAATGGATGGATGGATGGATGGATGGATGGATGGA